ATTTATGTTATTTTAAACCAAAGAGACAAAAGTATATATACAATGTTTTGATGATTTTGGTAATAGAGTCATCATATGTTATATGCAGATGTTATGCTTATCTTTGGGACCAATCAAAGATAAGTAGACCTTATGGAAATGATTTTTTTCATATGAATTCCCTTGTGGGACATGAGGGAGGAAAATGTTATTCTGTGTATTGAATCAAGCGGAACGACAAAGAATATTCCTTCTCTCAATTTTTCTGCATTGAGAAGGTTCTTGCAAAAATTCCATAGTAGGAATTGTCGTGAGTTAAGGACCCAATGGATCCACGTATGGAAATTATGGTTAAATGGGGGCTCTATGTATGCTTGACTTGCATGATGCTTGATATCGCATGCGATAGAAAAAATTAATTCATTACATGAGGAATCCTAGTGCTCATCATTTGAAATGAAATGACGTGTGTACTAGGATATCTCAAAGATACATTGTATTGACTTATAGTGACTTTCCATCTATTTTGGAAGGATTTGTTGATGTTAGTTGGATTTCTCATGTTAAAGGTGATACTTCAACATCGAGATGGGTACTCTTGCTTGGGGGAGGTGCCATATCTTGGGCCTCTAGATAGCAAAATTGCATCACTAGTTCCACTATGAAGTCAAAATTGTGGCCTTGATATCTCTTAAAAAAGAGACATTATTGTTGACTGGTAAAAACCAATCTCACCTGTGACTATTCTTAGCGATTGTAATGTTAATTCGGCTAAGGAATATAACCAAATGAAAATGATAAGTATGGTCATGTGGGAGTTAGCCACTGTAAACTCTGTGAATTGATCACTCATGGAGTTGTGTCTATGTAAAGTTACCGGACTCGAAATAATTTACTTGATCATTTGACGAAATGATTAACTAATGACTTGGTGGTCATGTCTGCAAATGGGATGGATTTAAAGTCCATATGATTTCCGATCATGAGATACCCAATTCCCCTCTAATACAACGTTAGAGGCTGAATTCAATGTGGAAAGCTCATTATCAGAAATTGAAGCACACAATTTGTCATCCCCCCAAGTATGTGCTTGTTATCCTGCGTGAGAGAAGAGGGTGAAGTTCAAAACTTCTTGAATCTTTGAAAAAGTGTATTATGCGGGTACACAAATAAGAGATTCAACCAACGTAAGCATGAAGTGTAGCCGCTTCAAGAAATCCAGACTCTGGTTTCGTGTGCGCTTATGAGAAGGATTGGACACATGGCGGGTAATAGTGTCAATGCATTTAGAAGTTTGTAAAACTTAAGTGTATATTATTTTCGAATATTCATATGAGTAGATGGGTTCGATCGTTACCGACACTCAAATATTCGGATATTCGTCAAGTGTAATATACTAAGATGAAAATTCAATCGTCGCGACATTTTCATTGATGCTTAAGTTTTGATGGAAAAATGTTGTAATTTTAGTGAATTGTTTGAATCAATTGCATGATACCATGAATTTCCTTGGTCATTTGATTTAAACTAATAAGTTTGGTCCGGTTTAAATCAATTGCATGATACCATGAGTTCCCTTGGTCATGTATGTGGCTCCATCAGTAACCACATATTACTTATCACTAGGGAACAAAACTATTTATATATGTGGTTTTCCCTTCTTTAACAGATTTATAAATTAAGTTTTTCATTACTCCATTAACCGAAGAGAAAATTAACGTTTTTTTGCAACTTTGATGTAATTAATTGTTTGTAATTTGCATCCCAATATCTATACATAACATAGTAACCCTTAGTAGGAATTCACAAATATTCTTGAACTACTACTTTTATGAATTGATGGTCTGTTTGTGATGTGATTAGGAAATATGATGAAAAAATATTTGTCATGTACAAATAGAATATATGTCATCCGAGTAGACCTGCAACTTATTCACCATCCACCTTAATAAATGCGGGTAGGAAATTTACCGACTCACAATCCATCCGATCAATCACCCACGTATAGAGGTGGCAATTAGGATCCAAATCCATGAATCCAATCCAATCCATCCACCAAATTATCCACCTAATCCAATCCATTTGATCCAAATCCAATTGGATTGGTGGATTCATGGATCAATCCACGGATCCAAATGGCAAATTACGATTTGGTACCTATATTTTTTATATTTTACATTTTGGTACCTAAAATTTATATTTTTATACGAAAAATATCATTGGAAAATTACATTTTGGTACCTAAAATTTTGCATTATGACATTTTAGTACCTAAACTTTTCAAAATTTACATTTTGGTCCAAGCCTTGGATGTTATTTGGATTCATGGATCAATCCACCAATCCATTGGATCCAATCCATAAATCCACCAATCCATTGGATCCAATCCATATGATCCACGGATCCACGAATCCGATCCAATTGCCACCTCTACCCACGTACAACAATTTTTGAGTTATTTGTGGATGAATTCATATCAAACCGTGATTCCACCATACCCCGCCTAAAACCAATGGGGATTGTTCATTACGCCTGCCTGCCTGCCATTGCTACAGCTTTCAGACTCGGAATTGGTTGTGGATGAGCTTTGGGATAACCCACAATTGTAAATCAATGCTCAACAAACTAGTAAATTACGTACATACAGCCAGATATGCCAAGAAAGGATATTGGAGCAAGGCATTGTTTGACTTATACATCCATATAATAATAATATAATTGTTATTAAGATCACGTGCTGAATTAACTCTTTGTTACTCCGTATCTAATGTTCCCTAATTTGTTTGATTTTCCCCTCTCTTTGCTCCTAAATTGCAACGCCGGCAATGTCTTTTACGCACAGAAACGACCGCCGATTAGGACGCAGTACTAGCTTTTCCTAGAATTGTTTTTTTTTTTGGCTCAGCATATATATGTGTAGAATAATGTTGTTTGGCCCTTCTCCTGTATATATTACTTAATCAAAATTCCCTTATATTTACCCTTTTGGTGAAAATTCCTTTACGCTGCATCTGTAAAAAACAGCGGTATATATAATAGCCTAACGAATGGAAGGAAGTTGCTTTCCGTTTTATGAACATGGAAGAAATTCACCTAATTTCATAACATTTCATCTACAACTACTTATATAAAGTGTGTGATCACATAAAAAAACCCTAAAAATATTTTGTTATGCACTTATTACAAATAAAAAAGTAACTGTATGACCAAGTGATTTATAACGTAGCAGTATTGGTAAGCCTGGCTAGTTACACATTCATGAAATTCGACAATCTGCGCGTTTATGAATTTACGAGATTCGACACACGCATTATTTATAAGCTATACCAAATGTACATTTATTTATCACTACTTTCACTACTAAATACAAGCGGATGGTGATTAATAATCAAGAGATAGCTACAAGCCTACAACAGGCCATATTCACAATATATATGAATTGAACCCCCCATAAACTAATATTATAATGGAGAGCCCTGAAAATATATAAGCAACAAGCAGAAAAACACATCAAATTGCACCTTTACAACTTGCCCATCAATTGTCAACATCCACAACAAAGAAATAAAGGGAGGTGACAAAACAAATTTTAATTAGAAAGCCATGGCCTATATAATACTACATGCAAGCCTGCAGCCAATCAAGATTAATTAATCAAGCTTAGCCACATCTGGGCCATTTTTTCGGGAATGGATCAGGTCAGTAACCTTATGGTGAGTAACCATGAGTAACCCGTCCACATCAGCATGACATCATCATCCTCTCTCTCATGGAAAGCCTTTAATTTTTCCCTCTTTAATCTTTGATGGACGATTTCTCGCTCATTTTAAGTCGAAATTTAATTTTTTTTGCACAGTTAGATCAGATTAATTGTGCTCTTCAAAATGATATCCACTTTAATATATTTTTCGAACAAAAAAAATTGAGCCATTTTTTACCAGCCTATACCATATGGTATTGACTGGTATTGAAATAAAAGCATACCTATGTTTTGAAAAACGTACCATGGTGGTATGAACAAACCAATACTGTAGGATGGTTGAATACATGATAGTAGAAGTATATTAATTGTAATTTACGACTTTTAACATTGTATACCACACAATACCACCCCGTACCAGGGTGGTATTGTATGATATTGTGTGGTATTTTTTGGTCCTGTAATTTGTTCACCCAGAAATTTGTAGATCCAATAGATCATGATGAACTCGTCCCTTCTGTGCAAACGTTTTCAAAAACGAATTAAAAACGAAGAAGATACCATACAATACCACCCCGTACCAGGGTGGTATTGTATGGTATTGTGTGGTATTTTTTGGTCCTGTAATTTGTTCACCCAGAAATTTGTAGATCCAGTAGATCATGATGAACTCATTCCTGCTGTGCAAACGTTTTCAAAAACGAATTAAAAACGAAGAAGATACCATATGGTATGCAGTTGGTACCGAGAGGCCAGAATTTTTTTTCCTAAAAAAATATTGAAAATTGATCTCATTTTGTAGAGCACGGTGAACTCGTTCCATCTGTGCAAAAAAAATTAAAATCCGAGTTAAAACGAAAAAGATATGAGTCAATTAAGAAAGCTAGTGAAAATAAAAATAGTCTTTAATTCTCCATCCTTTGATCTAGATTTTCTAAATGAAGGGTTCAGATTTGGTTATTGATGGGTGCATAACCCATGGTTATGCACCCTATCTTGAGCCCATTTTTTCTGGTCTTCACTTCATGGTATTACGTACGTAGTATAGAATAATAGTCTACCACTTGCCATCGTAAGCAATAGAATTCAAAAACCCTCTGTATAATCTGTTGCAGGCCGTGTCATCATCTCTACGTATACATGCACATCAATCAGCTCCTCTCTCGAACTAACACTGTTGCCAATAACTAAAACTAATCGTCATCAATACCATATTGTAGTTCCACGATTCCGATACATTAACAAAAGAAAACCCCACTAACTACATCAAATGATCGATAAATATCGACTAGATCAAGTCAAAGTAGCAGAGATAAATTAGCTAGCTAGAAGCAGGTGACGTCCATGCCGACGCAGTAAACAACCCAGTATCTTTCCACCCGAGCCTGAGCGTTCCATCCCCCTGAACCAGGCTGTAGCCATGCACCGAGGGGAACATGTTGAGTATCAGCTGCGCCTGAGCCATTGAGTTCCCGCTCATCGGCACCTGGAGGAAGGAGCTCCTCGCGAGCTCCCTCCTCCAGTGCTTGAACTTCTCCTCCCCGCTCCTCCCGGGCCCACCGATCGCCACCACGTTGTTGATCTCCCGGAAAAACAGGTCATGCTCCACCTTATGCCTCCCGGGGTCGTCGGGGGCCAAAAACGCCCCCAGCGAATCGAACAGGGTCGAGTAGTAATGGAGCGAACCCACGAACCGGTCGAGGAACGACCCGGCCGGACCGTGGGCCACGTCCTGCTCGACCAGCGTGACGACCCGTGGGGCCAGCTCCTCGAGGAGCCGCACGGCCTTCCAGTCCGTCCCCACGGCGTCGTACAGCGAGTGCTGCATCCAGTGCACCGCCAGCGTCTCCCCGCGCCGCAAGGGGACCATGGACGCGTCCACGTCGCCGAACTTTCTGGCGATTGGGTGGAACTCGAAGGGCAGGCCCAGCCGCCTCGCGAAGCTGGACAGCTGTCGGCCCGTCTCGACGAGGAGGTCCATGGAGGAGCCCATCCCGGTCATCCGGACCTGGGGCGGGCCCTCGGCCCGCGTGGCGAGGATGTGGAAGAGTGCCGGCCACTGGAGCCCCTGCATGACGTCGAGGTCGATGATGTGGACGTGGGACCGGCGCTGGAAGGCCTCGAGGATGGCCTGGTTGGAGGTGAAGTGGGCGAACTTGATGAAAGGGGAGACGTTGTTGAAGGCCTGGAACGCCGCGTGGAGGGCCCGGTGGTTGGTCAGCGGGGCGCACGTGCCGAGCCACGAGTTCATCACGCGGCTCGACATTGCCCTCGCGAAGTAGGCCACCACGCGCTCCGCGCAGGACGGGGCGTAAGGGGAGGCCACGTGGCTCAGGTCCAGGAGCATCTCGTGGGCCTCCTCCAGGTTCTCGACGGAGATCGCGACCGCGATCTCGAAGAGCTGCGTGATCAGCCCCAGGCTCCGCTCGTCGTTCTGGTTTAGTGGCGGCGGCGCCTGGTGGGCGGGCGCGTCGGAGACGACGTCGCTTGGGCTGTTGTCGCTGGTGCTCCCCGAGGAATTATTATTTGTGTTGTCCACGGAGTACTCCTCATGGTGATGATGAGGAGTACTCCGGCGCATGACTTTCCGGGGACGGAAGTGGTCGATGTCGACGTTGCTGTCGCGGTAGGCGGCGGCGGCGGCCATGGTATCGGGGTCGGGTTGTGGCGTGTCGGGCAAGTCATCGATGAGCTGTTTGGTGACGTGTTCGACCCACTCGGAGAGCTCGTTTCTCTCTAAGTTGACGACGCCGCGGAGGCCGTGGTGGTGGTGGTTGTCGATGGCTGACGTGGCGGTGGTGGGCTTGTTGGGGAAAGAGTTGGAGATCGGGGAAGAGGATGGGAAGGCGAGGGAGGAGTAATCCCAATTAGGTTCGTGGGGTTGGATCATGTCGAGAACTTCATAACCACCTCCTTTAATCATGGTTATTAACTAAAGCAATAAGGATTAGTGTGGGATTAGAGAGAGAGAGAGAGCCAGAGAGGTGATTAATGGTGATGTTGGCGAGGGAGGGTGTTAAGGAGGGGAAAGGCTTCAGTTTTAAAGGAGGAGAAGAAAGAAGGAAGTATGTTCACGTAAGCATGACAATGGTTGAGGTCCGTTTAATCAAAGAAATGGTCTTACAAGGAGTGAGAGAAAATGTGAGGGAAGAATTAATGTTATATTCTTCGTTTTCCTTTTCCGTTGTCTTGTTATGAAATATATTTTTTTCTTGCATGTTTTATTTAGTTTACTCGGCCGGCATAGTGAGACGAATGCATAACTTCAAAAGGCTACGAGACAAACAAACACGTCGGTTTGGTGGTGGTGATCTCTCCATGAATTAAAGTGTTAGTAGTGAAATAGAAGCTTTGTTGTTTCACATTCATGTATATAAGTTAATCAAACCGTGTATTATTTTAGGGAATTGATAAAAAAAGGTTTACGGTGTGGAACATCCTATACCATTCAGGTAAAAAAAAAAAAACTACATTTCTATTCTACGCATCACTACTAATTATTCAAGTAGATTTACTTTATTCACATGATTTATTTTCACACCGTTTCATTAATCTCATCAATCAATCAATCAATCAATCAATATATACTGATTATGTGCATGAACATAAGTGAGCATGCGTTAATAATTAGTATCATTGTGTGAATATGTGCATGAACATAAGTGAGCATGCTAAAATTACAACAACAAATTATGTCCAGTAAAATAGAAAACACGTTTACTAATAACTATAGTATCATAAGTTTGAATCACATAAACTATCATTTTTTTCTTTTTTTTTTTCCTATACTCAAACTACTCCATAATTCGTTCATTTTTTCGCTAAATTGTTGAAAGTCCCGGGATACTCGTACACACCACGTGGTCCGCCCCTGTACCATACCAACCTAACTGATGGTAGACAATTTTTTTAGCTGGTCGTGCCACACAAATCATGGTTGAAGTGTTGTTCATTTTTTTTTTTTACGATAAGAACTCCATTTTATTCCTACCCAATCAGGGAAACCAGAAAACACAATTGCAACAGTGGAGCTAAAATGTCACATAACAACCACGAGTCCATTGGTAACATGTTTTGCCTAGCTTGACCAGCTACTTAAGCTGCAATCAAATTAAGATGTCGAGGTACAAATTGAACATGAATACAGGGTGCAGATTGAATGACTGAGACCATACGGGCAATAGTCGCACGACAATGCCAAGGCTAGAGGATAGGGTCTTGTAAGTGTTAGACTCTGGCAGTCAGATAGAATGCACGTGGGGATCAGATCTTGCGCTGCGATCAATATAGCATTCTATTAAAAAAAAAAGAGAGAAGATTACGATAGCATTAAGTAAATTACAGACTTTCGCTTGAATCAGGTAGGAACATCTTAGCATTGCCGTCATACACTTCGCCGTAAGAATGAACAATGATAAGCCAATACGTCACCGCAGAAGAATCTGAGACAAAGGAGCCGTCACAATTCATAACTCCAGAGCTGTTCTTTCTTCTGTTGAAGTTCGCCCAACTACCCCCGGCCACCAATATATCACTACGATAAAAAAAAAAAAAAATTAAACTACTGTGTAGATTGTAGATGTAATGACTAGTTAAATAAATTACTTAGCCATGTTATTGGATAATTAAACTACTGTTCATATCTACGAGCGCGTATTTCGTATACTGAAGTTGTTTTTCGTTAAATAGCACACTGGCGACAACTGATGGATTAACAATGGATACTTGGATAGTGATTACTTGGTCATGTTAGATTGTTGATTGATGATTAATCGTTTAATATATATATATAGTTTGTATCTGTAATTGAATAGGATGTAGCCGTAGTGCTCTATTATAAAGAAAAGGACATATATATAGAGAAAAAAGGGTTAAGTAGTTCTAAATGATATTTATTGGGATGCATGTCCTTTTCCTTTCCCAAGTTTGATAATGATCGATCTACCCGTAATTTACATCCCACATGTGAAACATTGGATCAGCATTAGCTACTTTTATGTTTTAATCTTCGTTGGTTTGGTTAATCACGTTATGGGCGTACCATGAAATAAATCACGTTAAGCGTTACTATGGACAAAAGGTTGGTCTACCTACATCTACATGTGAGAGTAAATTTATAAAAATCTTCCTTGAATACTACGAATCAATTAAGTAAAAAAATTAGCTCGTGAATGTATTTAAGGTTAAGTAGGTTTTTGGTTATATTTGAGATAGAATACATGTATTATCGTTTTTATGAGTCCACCTACAATCACTCAAAATGAGTGATTATCAATCTCTATCAAAGGGTCCAATTGGTTTTTCAGCCTCAATGGACCTCTCCTTGACGGGAGAATTCGAAAGATTGCATGTTGTCTGTGGAATATTTGGTTAGCTCGAAATGGCTTTGTGTTTGAGGCTACGGTCCCTTCCCCGACCATTGTGGCAATCAAGACTGATCCTGATTTCCAATGCTTTGAGGAAGCTATAACAAGCTCTTCACCGTCTCATGCCTTCTCAGCCTAGGGGATCCTGATCTTACCCCTCACCACCGCCAGTCTCCTTTCAAAAGGTTGTTCACTGTGATGACTCTTTCGTGTCGGAATCGCAGGTGGCGACGTATAGGATTACTATTGTTAATTCTCATGGTCAGGTATATATTAAATGGAAAGGCTGAAACTTTCTTTTGTTTCTATATGATTCAAGCGGAAGTTTTTGCAAATTCTCAACGCAGTTCAACTTGCGGCTCAGGAGATCTCTCCTACTCATGGTTTGTCAGAATGTCAGGTTCTGACAAGTGCTTTGAAGAAGCCCCCGGATCTCTGGCCGTGGCATTGTCGGGTGACTTTGAAACGTATCATTTGAATCCTCCATGAAGCCCCTTGTATTAAGGTGGATTTTATTCTGCGGTGATTTAATGGTTTGGCTTATTGGGCGGCTCGGAATGCTCGTGTCAATACGTTACCATTTGATTGGATTGTTGTTGTTGTTGATTCGCTCTCAACACTTCTGTAATCTGTTGGCGTCCTTTGACTCGGATTGGTATAAAAGTTTCATCTTTCAAAAATAAAAAATAAAAATAATTGTCTACCCAACCTTTTCTTATAACAAAAACATAATTTAAACCTCTAGATAAGATATTTTCAAATTCATATATTTAATCAATAATCAAATTACAAAACACAAATTAATTAAATGCATCAATTAGAAGAGAGCTTTTGAGTGATCTTCCTTGAGTAGTGTGTTGGCTTACTGTGAAATAGAACAAAATCCGAAGGTGGTTTGAGGATTTGCCCACTAATACTCAAGTCAGTAAGGAAATAAGGTGGAGTTATGTGAGAGTAGAAGGTAATAATGCTCATTGTTGGAATTTTTAATGGTGTGAATGGAAATAACATAGGAAAGATTCAAGAGAATCTCTTAAAGTACTATACTGGTAAGTTGTGGGAAGGCGTGGCCGCAGATTCGGTCTATTTGATCTAATATGTTGGTAATAGGTAATATTAGTTTGTGTAACCAACCAGACCAAACTGAGTTGAACCAAATTGGACCGAACCGATGTGGCGGTTGGAATAACCGAACCGGTCCAACTACCATGGGCCGAACCTATGCAATGGTTCATTATTTTAAAATGAATCAATGTGTTGGTTGGGGTGTAACCACCCATATGAAGAGTTGTCTCCCTTCGTACACACCCTTTATTTTCTATAAATATCACATAACCCCCTCTGGTTTTAATAGACGTTTTTTCAGTAACAAAACTCTACTAAAATCCAAAACTAGTTTTTATGCATTCTTTTCAAAGAGAAAATCGAGTCAAGTGTGGTTCGTTGCGTTCGATGTTTCCAGGGGTTGAGGTACCGCTACGCCGGAAAAGGTACGTCTTTTCTATCATGGGAGGAATCATTCCATAACCTTGGGTACTAGAGGGAAATAATATGATTATTGCAAGGAAACAAATCAAGTCAAGCACACATGATGTGTATTGAATCGAAAGAGACGAGTCGTTGGTGTATTGTACCCAAAGGGAACTCACCGGATGAACCAAAAAGCAATCTATTAATGGACATGCATTTATGGTTGATGGAGAGTAGTATCTTCGAAAAAACATCCAAGTTGAACTGTATATATACCCACTAAAGACTGGTGAAGTTCAATAGTCTGGCCCATGCACAAAATGGTTATTACAAGGGCTAGAAGTGTTATGTGAGAATCTCGTCATAGAAACATAACATTATTGATTTATTAATTTCTAACAAAGTTATCGGAGATGATCATTGAGATCAAATGATAACAAACGTGGGGCCGCCTAAAATTAATTAAAGCATCAAAGGGAATGGACTCGTGGCCTAGGACAAATAATCATGGAGGTAACTCTACCTAACTAGGATTAGCAGACCCAACCTCTAGGTTCAAGGAGAAAACAAAGTTGTGAATGATGGTCCGACATTGTCAAATTATTCAAAGTTCATTCTCATGGTGAGACAATGTCCAAAATAAGGGTAAACCTAAATATGAAAGGTTTTTAATGGTTTCTAAGTATGACACGTGGTGTGGTCAAGTAGTGTATTTTCAGAATACATGTTTAGAAATCACCTATGTGAGTGTGAAGTGGAGCCGCTTCAAGGAGAATAATGGAAGGCCAGTTCTCTAAGCACTCATGAGACAAGGCGGTGTTCATGGCTAAAACGAACACAAAAAAGAGAACCAGTGAACGGATAAGAGTTAGTTGTGTGACATATGTTGTCTTAATATACAAGCAAAACCGACGGTTCAAAGATATCACATCTACCGATTGGTGAGTATACTCGATATATGTTCACTAAGGAAGGTTCAAAGGGAAACATACCTATCCCGATGCAACTAATTCTTAGTCGAGAATCACACAATTTTTTTGCATAGTTAATAAAGTACAACATTCTCCATTTGTGTGGGGGATTATTGGGATTTTTAATGGTGTGAATGGAAATGAAAGGGGAAAGATCCAAAAGAATCTCTTGAAGTACCATACTGGTAAGCTGTGGGAAGGCTTGGCCGCGAATTCGGTCGAGTTGATGTAATATGTTGGTAATCGGTAATATTGGTTTGTGTAACCAACTGGACCAAACCAAATTGAGACAAATTGAACCGAACTGACGTGGCGGTTGAAATAACCAAACCGGTCCAACTACCATGGGCCAAATTGGGCCGAACCGATGGAATGGTTCATTATTTTAAAATGAATCAATGTGTTGGTTGGGGTGTAACCACGCATATGAAGAGTTGCCTCCCTTCGTACGCACCTCTTCATTTTCTATAAATAGCACATAACCCCCTCTGATTTAATAGACGTTTTTTCGGTACCAAAACTCTGCTAAAATCCAAAACTAGTTTTCTGCATTCTTTTTAAAGAGGAAGTCAAGTCAAATGTGGTTCCCGCCGGTTCACTGCGTTTGATGGTTTCCGGGGTTTGAGGTACCGCTACGCAGGAAAAGGTACGTTATTTCTATCATGGGAGGAATCATTCCATAACCTTGGCTAATAGAGTTGAATAAAATTCTTTAAGGAGAAAAAATAAATTCTGTCGGCTAGAACGCTTGCATATATATTTGCATGATTTCGTAATCTTATATGTTTCTTTATTGCCTATATGATTTTAATTTGTTACTTGTTCTATAAAAAAATAATATATGTGAACAATTTTTACGCACTCTATCTGGATTGGCATGGTTTGGCTCGTTTATAGATGGGGCACTTATTATTCATTAATGGCGAGTTAAGTCATAATTTTTTGTAACTAGACAAATATGAGTGATTGCTAGCTTTGGTGGAAATCGTCATGGATTGAACCATGAGAATGACGAGTTTCTTTGGTTTAGAAACTGAAATTGCAAGATAGAGAAAGGAGATTTACGTGGTTTTTTCCCGATCCCCTTCTATTCTGCAATTCAAGTAATGAAGAAGAATATAAGAGAAGGGAGAGAAGATGGAAATATGAATAATAAGGGAGGAATGTGAATAATGAAGGAATATGTGGTGGGAGTTTTTTCATATAATGTGGAAATCCTCTAGCGGTTGTCGATTTTTGACACCGCGGGCAGAGCAAACCCTCGGGTTGGGACAACAGTAGTCGATCAGTCCGGTTGTATTATTGGAGGATTTGTTAGAGCGTACACGACAAAGATGATTTAAACTTGGGTTTTTTCGGGCCATCTCCCCACAGAATTTCATGGCAGTAGTTACCAAAATATCGTTAATGATTATTGTTAGCTTGGTGCTAATACATAGGGTGTTAACTATCAATATATGATTTCTTTAGACTCTTTATTTGAATCAAATAACATTTTTCAGAATTACTGACTAAACATGTTTCTGTTTTTATTTTCATTTTGTTGTGGATTGTTTTTTTTTTACCACAACTCTATTGCAATCCCAATTCCCAACAACAAAACTATATTAAACGGACATGTCCAGTCTCCATTGTGGTCATTCAAGCCTAACGTCGTCACTGGTACTTAATTGACAACCCTAACAATAATCATATCAATATCTTACGTGGCCCCTGCAACGACTGGTCAAAGACGTCAATGTACGAGAGGGACGAATGGATTATGAAACATGCATTAGCTGCTTTGATTTAACAAAAAAACTAAACCCCCCAACTAAAGAGGACGTTAGTGGTAAATGATATTCTTCGTTTTGTTTGGGAGTGATTTGGACGACAATGAAGGTCGCCTGGGAACATTATGAGGACAAATGGCGGTCTTATAGCACACCTAACCTAACCTCCGCAAGCCCCACTCATTTCATTACCACTGCAAATTAAACTCCACAGAATAATTAATACCTTTTCTTTTGTTTCATGTTTGCATAATGAGCTCACATGTCACATCTAAAGGTGACAAATGGATTGAATAATGGATTGGTGGATTGGATTAGTAAATCCATAGATCAAATTGATTGGTGAATTTTCATGTATTGGATTATATGGATGGGTGGATTGATATGTGGTTCCAAATGATATTCAAGTTTTAGATCAATATGTAAATTTTGAAAAGTTTAAGAACTAAAATGTCATAATAAAAAACTCTAGGTACCAAAATATAATTTTTCAATGACAATTTTCGTATAAAAAATAAATTTTAGGTAACAAATTAAAAAATATAACAATATAGGTACTAAACTCTAATTTGCCAACGATCCATAAATCTACCAATCCAATTGGATTTGAATCAAATGGATTGGATTTAAATGGATTGTATTAGTTGGATATTTAAGTGGATGAAGTGATGGATCGGATTATAAATTGCAATCTCTAGTCACATCTATGGCTTGGCTTCGCACTGCAAATTGAACTGTTGGCTTGCCCAGTTCCTCTACTTCAGTTGCCCTCTTTCGAAATATACATCCTGGAGCGTATAAAAAGCTTGTTTGTTTCATGAATTTGAAAAATGATAATTTTGGTAAATTTTGGGTTTTGAAAAAACCCCAAATTTATGATAAATTTGTTGCCATTATGAATTTTTTTTGGGTAAAAAAACAGACACCTAGAATGTCTTAGCTCGTATTAATTAACTACATAACATTCTTGGGAGATACCCATTACATCAAAATGGATCCATTGCCTTAACCCTGGTTCCCCAACATCAAGCAAGTGAGTGCCAAAAGGACAGACTATGTCATTTGTTGGTCAAAACTTCTGTAGCTCTATTACATGCCCTATAGGTGTGTTTGATCTTAACTGACCAATCCTGACTAAGCAGTCGATTGATCTCCAAGGCGATCAACCCATTGTCGATGGTCAAAACCCTTCTTGTTCTCGATAATGTTGATGGCAATGGTAGAGTCAAGACAAAGACAGACTTTTTGGTAGCCTCTCTGCCAAGCCATGTCGAGTCCAATGCTCTACTCTTGTGATGGAGCAGTTTTCAAGGTTAGAGGAGAAAGCACCATGACATCTCCCAAGGTAATCCATCATGAGACCTCCAGCAGCAGCCTTAGTTCCCCCTGCAACCACAGATCCGTCGGTGTTGATCTTCATCTAGCCTTCTTCAGGTGGCTTCCACGACAGCTCCTGTAGAATTTCCCCTTTAAGTGCAACAGAGGTGATCTGTCATTATGGACTTTAAAGTATCTATTGTTTGTTTATTGAATTTTGTTACAGATTTTACTTAATTATATTTGATAGGCTAATATCTATTTTTTATCCAAATCTTTTTCAGATTTTTTTATATTATTCAAACCTATTAAAATGCTATTAATTAACCAAATCTTTCGTAATGCATCAAAAGATTAGTCATTTTTACGTTATCGTTAATAATTTTGTAACTCATTTCTTAGTTAAAATACTAAAATTTTGCAATGTTGACCTTCATGTGTCACTTCCAAGTCAGTATCATGTTGCCAAGTCAATATTACTAACAAAATTGCTAACTAAAAGTTAACATTCGGCTAATTCTTAGTATTTCGATAGGTTTGAATAATATAAAAAAATCTGAGAAATATTTGGATAAAAAATAAACATTACCCTATTTGATATGATAACTTTTATCTTTCACCAAATCTCTCTTCTAATCATGAAATTTGCAAGTCCATGATATCTGCAGATTTGAACTTCGTGAAACCCACAAATTTTACTCTCCTTAAATTAACTAAGGGTGCGTTTGGATAAGTGTATTTTAAATGTAAGGTATTTGAAATACTAGCATTTGAAATGGATGTATTTGAAGTATTAGCATTTGAAATACATGTAATTCAAATTCATTGTTTGGATACTCATTTGTAATTTGTTTGTATTTTTGTATTTATGATTTTCAATTTCAAATTTTAATTTTCTGGCCACTTACTACAAATTTTGGTAAATTACAGTTTGGTACCCAAAATTATTTTTTCTTACAATTTAGTACCTAAACTTTTAAAATTTTACAAAAAGGTCCTGAAATTTTGATGGTAAAATTACATTTTGGTACCTTTATATGTTTTGCCTCACACTATAGTACCTAAACTTTTCATATTTTACAAATAGGTCCATTCTTTTGTTAGGAGGTATTTCAAATCACTAGTTGTTGAAATGTATTTGAAGTTGACAAAAAATACACTAGACATGTATTTGGAAATCACCCCATGAATTTGACACAAATCCAAATACCAAATGTAATTAATATCCAAACACATGATTTGGTATTTGAAAATCCAAATCACAAATACCAAATCCAAATCCTTGTATCCAAACGCACCCTAACAAAACTTTCAGACAAGTTCAAAGTGGATTGAATTTGAAACTTAAATTCATCACCAAATTCCATATCCATGAAGTAAACGAGCCCAAAATCTGGCACTTGGAAAAAGGGTAACGAAACAAGGAACTGAAGGAAGAAGCAAAGGAAAATGGTGTCCCTTTTTGACTTCGCAAGATTGAAACATTCAAACGACTGACTCTACCAGAAAGAAGCAACAGATTATTCATTTACATCTTGACAAATTAACTGGCAATGAAAGAGATAACCCTTCATTTTATTCTTTTCTACACAAGAAGTCAAGCTAACGAGGAGGGTGAAAACGAAAAATTAACTTTAGAGTGATTTTGCATAGCAGGGTTGATCGTAGCTAGTGTTACAAGTATTCTACTGAGACTTCTGCAATTCTTTGGAAGGAACTTTGTGCTATAGTCCTCGTATCCAGGCAGGGTCCATAAACTTTACAAGCTCAACTACTTCCGCCAGAAACCAAGGACTTTCCAACAGGCAACTCACAGAAGTTGGAGCAACAGACGCAGCAGGCTTGGTTGGAGAGGCGTCAAATGAATGTCTAATGTCTTCACTACCAACCCGGATTGGTTGATTGCTCGAAGGGAGTGGGAGTGCCGAAAAAACGAGTTATAAGTCACAAGGCAATGCAGTCTGTAAGGTCAGCAGAAGGGAGCCTGGATTAAACAGCATCATGCTGTTTCGGAGTAACTTCCAGTTCTGGAGGCAACATGTTCAGAAAGCTCCCCTGACCCGGTGGTTGATCGCTCGTGGTTGTTTCTGATGATTCTGACGTTTCTGACTCTCCTTCTGTGCAACAGGGAAAGAAGAAAAAAAAACACAACAAATGTACAGTTAAAATGAAATCACCTTTTAGGAGCATCTCAATCTAAATGCTGACTGCTGTAAAATAAAAAATCATCTCTTTTCCCCCCAAAATTTTGGTCGCTGCCCATTGATCCTCCTCGAGAAGGCAGGCGAAACTAATACTTACAAGCACCAGTTGTAAGCAAAACAAGAAGACAAGTTTTGAAAAATAGATGTGCATGAGTCGCTATCTGTGAGGAAAATCCAATCCGGATCATACGTTTACCCTTACCAAAAAGCGACTTCACAGACGGCCTCTTTGGCTTTGTATCTTTCTTTTTCAGTTCAGCTGCGACAAACAAGTCAGAGTCAGCTCCCATTAACATATTTGTGACGAAGAATATTGTAATGTAGTGACCAGATGACCATCCAAGTTACAGACTGAGTAAAACTGCAAAGCAAAACCAAAAAAAAAATAATTGGGGGGAAAAAAAGAGAATAAGTAACCAGGCGGCCAGGGTCATTTTCAGGGTTGTCGGAGAACTACATGTGGCCATTTCCTGGGCATGGTACGTTTCAGGATAATTCATTAGGGAGGTTTCACAACGAGAAACTGCAACAGTAGAAGGCTAGTTACCCTCGAAGAATTTCAGACAAGTCCGGCAAGACACAGAAAGAGACTACTGTCAATGAAGGCTATCAACTAAAGTCCAAAACACCTTGCCTTGCAGGGGATCAGAGATGTATTGGTCCAAGATGCTAACTATATAATTCTTAACCAACACAGGTACAACGGAAGGGAATATGACCGGACATGGTAATAAGTTAAGAAAAAAATGCTACTCCCTAACAAGTGACAAATCACATAAAATACCTGAGTTTCTACAGAACGAGATAGAGATTAGAGAATAAGAATAATGGGAGATTTAGGGATTTAGAAGATACATTTTGGAATTTGGGATAGAACAGAGTTAGGGAATAGGGAATTAGAAGATAGAATTAGAGATTTAGGGAAGCACATAATGGAACTAGGGGTTTAGAGGAGGAAATCGGCCACAATAGGAGATAATGGTCTGGCGGCCTTTATGAAGGGAAGAGACGAGGATTTGGGAGATTTGAGATAATTGTTTTACTATTCATCTTTCATAATAACGAAATACGCAATTGGCTTTTTCGGTGTACACACAAAAATGAGTGCATACAATGCACCCTAAACCCTATCATAAATTGCTAAACACTAAATCTTTCAAATCAAAGTATATCTTGAATAATTTTTGTGTTAATTCATGCACTTTCTTGCCCATCATATCATAAGTGATGATTGTCATCGTTTTAACATGAATCGTCTGCTCAGTATGGCGATTATGAAGCGAGTGCATTGAATGCACAGAAACAAATGAGCGCACCAAGGACAAAACCATAATAACTAACACAATTATCCTACTAATTAATTATTCTACTAATATGCTGTGTGGCTAGGTCCGACGTTGGTTTCTACCAAAGAGGTGCCCTTATAATGCTTCGAAAGAGGAGGAAACTAATTACGGATGTCCCGGAATCCGTGAAAAGCAATCTGTCTGATTTGATTTTCACAGGTATGCATAACCCATACGTGTTGAATGCAAAGGAAAGGAGAAGGAAAGAGAAGCTGTTACCCATTCCGGGTACTTGATAATCATTCACAATTTCGAAGTTTTTGTAAGTGTATCCCACAAAATTTAGGTCCTTGGAGGAAAGCATCTGCAAAATCCAACGAAACTGTGAGCAGAAAACAAAAGCATAATACGGAAAATAAAGGCCAAGCTTCTTGTCAATGGGTTATACAAGTGGACTTCAGGAATGCTGTAGGCGAAGGAAACTAGTTCAGATACGTCGAAGTGCGAACATACTACCACGAGTCATGCAGAATTACTGAGTTTGTATTAAACTAGCTAAGTATTCCAATAATACAAATCTTGCATGAGTGATGCAGCACATAAAAATCTTATTAAGATAAATGATTTAAAGGTATGATCCTTCTAGTGGCATTACACACTTCCGTTGCCTGGGAAATGTTGAGGCTGCATGAACCACGTTATGTGCAACTAAAGTAAAAGCCCACTGGTAGGGTACATGAGTATTTTTCCTCCATCGCAATTAAATTTCGTAAAGAAGACTACTATGCAGCTGCGATCAATATATAACTTTAAGAGATTATGGAAAATCATTCATTATGTAAACACTGAAAGGAGCAAGGACAAATACTAACCTTTCTCCATGGACCAGTTTTAGACGATGTTTGGGGATGGTGCTCCGACTGAAGACCCAAGTCAGCAGGAAATATTAGAAGCGGAATAGCATTTGTGGGTGCACATATAATTCACAATACTGTCATTGAACAGAGATTTTACATACCTCCTCAAACTTTTCAAAGTTTTGTGTGTCCAGCTCATCATTGACCTCCGGAGTAAAGGCAGCTTCCATGTGGTAAATATTATTCCAGTCAACTCCATTGAAGAATGGATGTTCCTGGAAACATAACAGATAGGTGGGTAATTCTTCTGGAAATAACCACCTATATCTCAAGCGGTAGTATTCAGAAAAGGACACACCATACAACACCTTTATTTCATCTGCACCATTTGTTCCTAATCTCTGGTTGACATTGCACAAGAGTTTGCTAATGAGGTCCTTTGCCTCTGGAGATAATTTTGCTTCTTCCGGAAATTTCAAATGGGTTTTCCAGTTTACTATCTGGACAGCAGAAAAGTAACAACTTAGAACACCAAACCAGATATTTGGCATGTCCAATGCCCTTCTGTTTGGAAAAACGAATTGTTTCTTTATATGAGAACTAATTTTGAATGTCATGCCGAGGTCTTGATTACAAGATTTACGGAAGATAATCTAATTGAGCAGGGAAACCAACAGGTAATCATAAGGAGACCTGAAGTGTAAAATTTTGGCAGAACCAGACAGTTTGACTAGTAAGGTCCTTAAAGTAAGCACCAATAAAATTGTGTTTTGATCCAGTTTGGCAACCAACAGTTCCAAGGAAAGGTTAGAGTAGTTATTAATCTGGATTAGAAATTCAGCTTTGGAGAAATGGTCTGACAAATTAAAACCGGGAGATCATTTTTTAAGAGTGAAATATGGAGATGAGCCTGACTGCATTTGCTAAAGAGACAGAAGCATATAATTTTTATCTAACATTATAAATAAAAAAAGACAGACGCATAAACCAAAAGAACGTTGCACAAAGACTTTGCTGACCATGCAGTGGGATTAGCAAATATTAAATGAAGGTAGGTTTCCATCATAAATATATAAGTCACAGCCAAAACTTGAATGAAACTGAAGCAGAAATTTTGCAGTGTCTAGCTCTACCTTCCTACATGTTGACATCGGATCATCCGAATAAAAAGGTGGATAACCCACAAGCATTTCGTACATGATTGCTCCAAGTGACCACCTGTTGTTCATCACAGCCCCCAAAGTTAGTCGAAAAGGATCACATACATATTGAAATATACACTCATGAGCAACATCTCATAGATAAAATAAATCCAAAAGAGCTTTCATGGTAAATTAACGAATGAAGTTAATATTATTACAGACCAAACAAACTAGCAACATCCACGTGCTTCATCGGAGATTTGGATAACTACTCACCAGTCACATTCCATTCCGTACCCTTTCTTCAAAAGCACTTCTGGAGCGATGTAGTCAGGTGTGCCCACAGTGGAATAAGCCTAAAATGCCAAGCATCAACCATTAGCGTGGGGGAAACATAATATCCAAATAGTGACAGATATGAAGGAAAAACAGTCTGTCATCACAATTTGAGAAAAATGCATTTGCTTGCTAGACTATCTAAGGAGCAGGAGCATATGTTTCAGATTACTCTTTAGCATAGTCCCAGTTGAGTCAACTTAATAAGAAAAGCAATTTAAAACATCAGCCAAGGAAAACACATCAGCTAACAAGGTAGTCGTCAAGCTGGTAGTATAGAGGGCTCTGAGCATTAGTCCAAGGAAGGACAAGTGCACATGGTATACAGATGCATCAGATTGGCTTCACACAACAATGGAACAAAACATACCAGGGTCCTCCGATTCTTCTGCCAATGCTGTAATTGCTCTTGCTGAGTGCGCTTTGGAGCTGCTGAGCGGTCCTCATTTTGTGTAGCCCCATTAGGGTTGTTGACCACTGAAAAATCTCCTTCCTGGATGGTACTACAGTCTAGTGGTTTACATAGACCAAAATCAGACAGTCTCAAGTGACCATGTCTATCAAGAAGTAAGTTATCAGGCTTGATATCCCTGCACAAATTGATGCCAAGAAAGAACAGAATAGTGAAACTCATCATCGCCCATATCTTTTGATGATGACTGCTCAATTACAAACTTGTAGCTTTAGCCTTTAAGCACAAACCTATGGATGTAATTATGCCTGTGAATAGACTCAATAGCCAAAACAGTTTCCGCAACATAAAATTGAGCTTCATATTCTGTCAGGGTGTCTTTTCTCATAAGCAACGTCATCATGTCTCCACCAGGCAAATATTCCATAATAAGGTAAAGAAACTCCTCGTCTTGGAAAGAGCAGTATAATTTGACAATACAGTTGCTGTCAACCTCTGCAAGCAGATTTCTTTCAGCTTTCACATGTTCAACCTGGAAAGTATCAGGAAGCCATGAATGTGGTACCAATAGACAGATGCTGTTAGGCAAGAAAAATACTAATTTGTACCTGGCCTCTACGGAGCATCTCTGATTTCTTGAGCTTTTTCATAGCAAAAACATGGCCAGTTGTCTTTTCCCTGCAGACTCTAACCTGACCAAGAAGGAACTTCGTATCAAACTTCCATGATAAAGTGAGGAAATGACAATAACAGAATGGTATTAATGGTTATGGAAGAAAAGAAAAAAAAAGCATGAAGAAGCAGGAATAGAATCAGCAAGCTGTTTCTCATTCGTCTCCCTCTTTTGTTTTGGGGGTTAAGTACATTCCGCATCAATCTAGTACTAGAAAAGCAACAGAACAATATATGATCATCAGGAAATCTAAAAAATTGGAAAGAGACAAAACACAGAACGACAGATATACCTCTCCAAACGCGCCTTTGCCAATCATTGTCAAAAGTTCAAAGTCTTCGACGCCCATTTTATGCCTTTGAAGGCGCATGTATTCAGTTTCCTTCTGCTCCAAGAATTTCAGCAGGTTATTCTGATCCTCCTCGGATACATCAGCATCAGCCAATTTCCTCTCCAACAAGTTCCGACTATCAAAAACACGCACAAGCTTTACCGTCGAAATCCGCCCACATTGTTCAGGACAACAATATCATCCATCATAACCAAATCAGAAAACAGAAGGGGAAAAAGAAAGAGAGGAATTTTACCGCTCCTTGCGCTCCTGGAGATTCTTCATCTGCTCCTTGTAATGGTTCTCAATGTACTGCTTGGCGGCGGCAACTTTCTGCTTAGTGGTGTTGGAGAGAGCTTCATCGTCGTCCCTAGGGAAATCATCTCTGCTGTCGCCACCGCCGCCCTCACCGGGCTCCTTCCGCCTCGTGGTGGACCTCATTTTGTCCCGAGGCTGAAACTTGTGAAACCAGCTCCTCGCTGAATCCATTTCGCCGGTTAATTCGTGATTTCAAACTTCTATCAGAATCATACTACAACTTTTTCCCTCGCAAATTCTCAGAGAAATAGAAGAAGAAGAAGAAAACTCCAGAAAGAAAAATTAATAATAAGCAAACCACCAGATTCACAAGACAAGGAAAGAAAAAGAGATTGGAGAATTAGAATCGGCTGTGCAGGACAGAGAGAGAAACGGCATCGTAAAGAACTCCACGCCTGATTCAGAACCCTAGAAGATATGCAGATAGAGAAATGCTAGAAGGAAGCAATGTAGCAAGGATTCGGGACACAGGGAGGAGGGAGATGGTGAGAAGCAATCTGAAAACAGAAGAGGGAAAAGAAAATTCTCACAAATGGAAATAAACGAGAAAACAGAGAGAGAAGCCGAAATTTCGGATTACCGCGAAATTACTCCGTTTTGGTGTTTGGGAGAAGAGAAAGGAAGGGAAAACAGAGAGGGAAAGTACGGAGGAGAAGTGCGGGATTCACGGGAGTCTGCAATAACCAAAGGAAAAAAGATCTATCAAACGGCCTAGTGATGGAAGTTTTGAGTGTTCTCCGTTTCCCCGTTCCTCCGGTTTCCCGGCGACGGAGACGGTGGCGGAAGATAGGACTGTGGAGTGAGTGAGAAGAGATTCTCCGGCGGTTGGCAGTTGGGAATCGTGCTGAGCAAACAGCGGAAGAATAGCAGAGCAGAGAGCCTTCTCTGTCCCTCTGATCCCTTGCAGATTTTATTATATAGTTTTCCCCACGTCGTCCTTCTTTTGAATAATAGGGTTAATATATTTGTATGACATAAACTTTGGCTCAAGATAGGGTGTATAACCATGAGTTAAGCACCTATTAATAATACAATATGGATCATTCATTTAGAAAATTTAGATCTAAAGATGTAGAATTAAAGATCATTTTTATTTTTCCTATTTTTCTTAATTGGCTCATATCTTTTTTATTTTAATCGGATTTTAATTTTTTTTGCACAGATGGAACGAGTTCATCATGCTCTACAAAATGAGATCAATTTTCAATATTTTTTGAGAAAAAAAATTCTGGCCTCTCGGTACCAACTGCATACCATATGGTATCTTCTTCGTTTATAATTCGTTTTTGAAAACGTTTGCACAGAAGGGACGAATTCATCATGATCTATTGGATCTACAAATTTCTGGGTGAACAAATTACAGGACAAAAAAATACCACACAATACCATACAATACCACTCTGGTACCGGGTGATATCTTGTGGTACACAATGTCAAAAGTCGTAAATGAAAGTTAATATACTTCTACTATCATGTATTCAACCATCCTACAGTCTTGGTTTGTTCATACCACCATGGTACGCTTTTCAAATCATAGGTATGCTCTTATTTCAATACCAGTCAATACCACATGGTATAGACTGGTAAAAAATGGCTCAATTTTTTTGTTCGAAAAATATATCAAAGTGGATATCATTTTGAAGAGCACAATTAATCTGATCTAACTGTGCAAAAAAATTAAATTTCGACTTAAAACAAGTGAGAAATCTTCCGTCAAAGATAAAGGAGGAGAAAATTAAAGGCTTTCTAGGAGAGAGGGGGATGCTGATGTGGACGGGTTACTCATGGTTACTCACCATAAGGTTACTGACCTGATCCGTTCCCCTGAACTTTGATCAAAATAAAATTTCTGGCCAATTTTTTTTATCTATAACATACTGGCCCAAATTATACATCAAAATAACTAAATTGGTCAAACCCGACGTTTGACCGTTAACTTGGACGGTCAAACGTGTTGACTAATGGTCAATGCACCACATCACCACCCAGTCAGCATAAAAAATGTTAAAATTTTCAAAAAAACACAAAATCTCATTATTTCAATTAAGTTAAAAATAAATATAAAAAGAAAAGAAAAAACAATAAAAGAGATAAATGGTAATAGGTGGAAAAAATCAATTTTTTTAAGTGTTCTGTGCTGACTAAGCGATGATGTGGCGCGTTGACCGTTAGTTAACACGTTTGACCATCCAAGTTAACGGTTAAACGTCGGGTTTGGCCAATTTAGTTATTTTGATGTATAGTTTGGGCCAGGATGTTATAGATAAAAAAGATTGGTTAGGATGTTTATTTTGGTCAAAGTTTAGGCCATACAAATATATTAACCCTGAAAAATACGTCGTTTATCCTATGAAAAAAAATACGTCGTTTATCGGGTAAATTGCATTGTTGGTCAATTTGATTATTAAAAAGTTTCATACGGTCACTAAAATCAGTTAAATATTTCAGATTTGTTCACATCTATTAATCTCTTATTCGTTAGGTTCCGTTAACGCCGTCAGTTTGTTGCTGACATGGCTAACAAAATCGTTTAGTTAGAGTAATTTTGACCCAAAAAAGTGGAACAGTTTCCCCAACACAACTTGTGATTCTTCCTCCCGTTTTTGCAACAACAAAAAAAACTAAACCCATATTTGAATCTCCAACAGACATTTCTCAGTCACTACAACCACAACAATCGCCCCAAATAACAGACTCTCTCTCCAACCCAACGAGACAGAGGCAACACCACTGTAGTTTGGTGCTTCCCCGACTTCCTCCTCACCTTTCGGGGTTGCGCTCCTCGCTACTATTAGGACAGGAGGATCGATGACAAAACTTATGGATGAGAAAGAGAGGTTATGAAGGGAGAAGAGAGAGGGGGGAGCCTTTGGGTAAGTTTGCATACTATCGTGCTTGGATCGTAGTCCCTCGAATTTGGTCAGGTAAAAAGGGAAGCGGCTTTTGGGGAATATCCTACATAGTTATATGATTGCATAAGGTTTGTATGACTTGTATGTCTATTTTTGTAGATACAAAATTGTGTTGAAGATCATTGACAAGAGATGGGAAGATCAAATGAGCAGACTATTGCATTATGTTGTTTTTTGGTTAAATCCTCGAATTCATCATTCTAAAGGATTTAATCATAATTATCCAAAGGTGAAAGTAGCATTGTCTGAATTTGTTGGTAGAACGGCCAAATATGATAATAAAAAAAAAAGCTCAAAATAATGGGACAATTGCATTAAATTCATCTTGCTAACTCCATGTTTGATCAATTTGATGCAATGACATTAAAGGATACACAATATCCAACTGATTGGTGGAGTTCATTTGTAGATGAAGTGTTAGAGCTTTAGAAATTTTACATCATAGTGTTAAGTTTGACTTGTTGTGCTTTTGAATGCGAGGGCAATTTGAGTGCATTTGAGAGGGTAAGCCCTACACTACCTTTATTTTATGTTATTCATATCAGGTTTGACTTGTTTGTCTTCTATTCATTCTTTTATACGCAAGTCTTTCTTGTAGAATCATACTAAGAAGAGAAACCAATTCCTTACGCAAAATATGAATGATCGTGTGCATGTCATGTGCAAGCAAGAAGTCTTGAAGTTTTTTTTTTTGAATATATAGACTCTAATAATGAATGGATATGTGGAAGTGACAGCGAAGAAGAAGAACCACAAACCAAAAATTTGGAGGTTTGTAATGAGAATGGAGGTGAAAATGTTCATTTTCGTGGTGATAGTCTAAGAGACTAAGAGAGGATAATGTTCATGAGTACAACAATATAGTTTATGGTAATGATGATGGAGATGATGAAGAATTTGATGTAAATGTTGAAATTGATGCACTAATGAAGTTTCATTTCTATCATTAAGATAATTTTCTTTAGTTGTGACAACTTGGATTATTAAGCTTGTGTTATGACTTGTGATTTTTGTTATTGTGGAACTTAGACTTGCATTCTATGATTGTGAACTTATTGTTTATGTATTAGAATTTGCTCCACTATAAAAAAAAAGTTGTTAAATTAGATTATTAGCATGAGTAGTGACATTTTTAAGTGAGACAGATAGTTAGTATAATAAGATTATACACAAAACTTATATTTTTATGCTAGGCTTTTACGCTTTTACTCATGTTTCCCCTTATGCATAGAAACACACATTTGACTATATTGCCTTTGGCTTCCCTTCCTTTATGATGAATGATTTCATGGTATTATTGATTATGGAAGTTGGATACTTATAGGAAGAGGATCCCTTTCCTCAGGGGGGTAGGGAATTCAAACTCTTTTCCCTTTTTCTTAGGGAAAAGGTCTCCCCTTCCAATTCGTAAAGGAAAAGGGATCCTTTGTGTAATTGAGTAATTTTTCAAGGGGTTTGTATCAAGTAAAATGAAATTTCTCCCGTAATTTGGTTTTCCGCGGCCATAATTGTGAATTAGCGCCACCAGGTGTGAAAATAGTCGATGATTTCTAATATGTCTCAAAAGTACGAAAATTTTCATATTCTAGCACTTTTCTAGTTTGTGTGCCCTAGAATAAGACCTGGAAGTTTAATACCAAGACAGAGAGGATGCTATATATGCAAAGTTCCACTCGCTCACTCAATCTGTTGAATTTTATGACCCCCAAGCTCTTGTTCATCTCTATTAGTGTTGGTTGGACAGGGAACTATAGTTGGGATATGCTCACAGCCATTATGATTTGGCGGCTGAGGCACCATTTTTCTTGGTACTTTGACACAAAGGGCGTTGTTCCCAGCTCGGTTAGCTACTTTAATTTTGTCTGCCACATTGGGGTGGTCGCCCAATAGAATCTTTTCTAAAATTAGCTCATTAACTGACCCCGCGTCAAGATGAGGGTGTTAGATTCCTCAATTATACGATAGATCATACAGTAGAAACCTTTATCTCGATACCACTTATCTTATGCTTAAAATTCTCCGGTCTTCAATTGGAGATTTTGGATATCTCTTTGACGCTTGGTCAAGTCTTTGAGAGGGGTGTAGTTTACTCCTTGTCCTTGTTCTCGGTTATTATGGATGGGGTCATTAGACCTTTTCGGCGGTTGTTGTGGCGAGGGCTCCAGAATGCTCCAGTTACCAATTGGATATCTTTTCATAGATCGATTTTTAGGCAATGGTTCACTTAATTTTCCCCCCAGCCTCCCCTTGATTTGTTTGTTGGTTTCTCCCCATAAAATTTCCCCAGCTACAACATTTATCTATTGTCCATTCTCTGGTTTTGTCCATCTACAAACAAACTTGTGAGCTGGATGGGGTGAAATCCTTGGTAAGGTCATTCTTTGATATATTTTTTTTATATCGATAGCATGCCTCTTAAAGGGATTTAGCTTCCCCTGCTTGAATTTAAGAAGTCGTGAAACTAACTCATAATTATGCCAAGCAGCGGCGGATTTAGGGGGGGCGCCCCGAGCCATGGCCCAGCTCTCTCCTGGATCAGAGCTAGTATATCACTTGTAAATGTTCGAGTTTAGGTGTTCATTTCAATGCTTGTTGGGTTACGGCCCAGTCCAGTGACGGACCCAACAATTATACATAGGGGTGTCCTCTTTAAAAAATAAAGTAAATTAAAAAATTATTAATAATAATTATAATTCTTAAACAAGAAAATACCCAACTCGTAC